CTTTTCTCTCTCTTCCTTGATTGCTGTTGTCACAGCTTTCTCCAGCTCCTTTTTCGACTGCTCCGCCTTTAAATTGAGTTGTTCACACTTTATCTTAGCTTCCTTAAGTTTCTCTTCAATCAAAGCCTGATCTTCCCGTGACAGCTTTTCACCATTCTCTTTCAGGAAGTTCTCTGTGTTTTTCACTATTTATTTCAATGCCTGTGCACTCCCTTGCATATCTTTCTGTAATTCCTTATAACACAAAAGGGGAAAAAACATCTTAGTAGATTGCTACCTATTTAACTTTTCCAATGTTGTAATTCTCAAAGAGGGTCTGTGCAAAGGAGAGTCTAGCACACATAGACTGAAAGAGCATACTCAGTATGTTCACTGAGTTTGTTTACTTCAATTGCAATATTTAATACTAGAGGCCCAATGCACGAAATTCGTGTAAGAGTAGGCCTTCCTTCCCCTGGCTGTCGGCACCGGCTTCCCTCTGGCACCTGGGGTGCGGCGCTTCCTTACGACCACCGGCAGGCACCCAGGACCCGGGCTTCCTTCACAGTTCCGGCTCTGTCCGGAAGGTCACCTGGAAGGATGTCTGGTCTAATTAGCATATTACTCTTTTATTATTATAGATAATTTGAAATCTCAAACAGCATTAAAGAAATATATGAGATTTTCATGTTTAACAAAGAGATGTGGTTTGGAAAACATTGAACAATAAAGTATTCAGTATGTAAACTATATAAATTTGAATATATCAGTTTTTTTTTATGTTATGTGAGTGCATTTATAAAAGCTTTTAAATACATGACCATATTATTTATTCTGTTTCTAAACACTTTTTTAAAAAATATACAACTACTGCTCAGGGCAAAAGTAAATAGTTCTCTAAGTTATGAGCTAAGTTGTTCCTAAAATAATTTCTTTTTAAAAATATATATATTTTTCTTGATTTCAGAGAGGAAAGAAGAGGGAGAGCTGCCTCCTGCACGCTCCACACTGGGGATCAAGCCCACAACCTGGGCATGTGCCCTGACCGGGAATCAAACCATGACCTCCTGGTTTACAAGTTGATGCTCAACCACTGAGCCATGCCAGCCAGGCCCTAAAATAATTTCTATACAAAGATAATCTTTTCTAAACAGCTTTCCTACATCCAGATTTCTCTATGTATATTCTCCTCTTCTCTTCCTCCTTTATTTGGCACTTTAATTATCTATATTGAACTGTGTTTGAGTTTTCATATTATCTTTCCATACTTTCAAGATACCTCAAATTCTGAGTATTTTAATTGAAAGAGGTACTTATTGAACTACAACACTGTAACTGTGCTCGTCATGTAACACAATATTCACTTAACTTTTACCATAACATAGCAATGGAACTATGACCAATGAAGAAACTGAGGCTCAAAAGGTTAAATTATAAAGCTAACAATGTGTAGTGTCTGGGATTTAGACCAAGAGCTAGCTAGTTACAATGAGAATGTTATTTCTTCAGACATCAAAATAAAGATAACTTTATCTGTCATTATTGCTTGTCCCTTCAATGAAAAGGGACACATTGCAGAGAAAGATGAAAGGGATAAGAAAGAGCTAAGAAAGTGAAAGATCCCAAACTGATGGCTATTTCACCTGATTTTGAAAGTGAGTGGTTGGCCTAAATGGATCTGAGTTTTAATTCATCACACAAGGTATTTCCACTATCAAAACTCCTTTATATCTCCTCCACTTAATATTTCACAAAAAAAAAATCAGTCAAGAAAATTATTTGGCTTACTTGAAGTTGGAAATGTGACTTTTAGTATAAAGTTTATAGCTCAGGAGGGCTGGGGCATCTAGGTGTGGCTTGTCTCAGAAAAGCTAAAATGATTGCTTTTTTCCCCCCAAAATCCTAACTACTTTCCAAATAGTAATCAAACTCTACATCAACATAGGACTACTGAGGCAAAACTAAATTCTACCTCTTGCTTGGACTGGTACTTCTTTAACTCAACTGTGCCATCGCCAATCACGAAGGCTTCCTGGTGCCCAATCAGGCGGTTTTCAGTCTGAGTAAGGAGATCACATATTCCTTGGAGTTTCTCTTTGTACTCCTGCTGGCGCTCTGCCACGATCTACAGGGGAACAAAACCAAAGCATCTTCAATGGGGATCATACACTCACGATTGTGCTAGCTCCTTATCAGAATACATTTTGCAAGTTTCCTCTAAAAGAAGCTTTCTGAGTATGCTGTAAACATGGTAGCAGTGGGGTACCAACTGAGCAAGGTGACACAGAAAGTAAGAGCTTGCCCCATAAAAAAGGAGAGAGAGCATGTTTGGATGAAACTGCTCAGCAGAATACTGGCCATGCACATGTGTAAGAGATGGAACTTCTGACCGACAGGAAGAAACATTCCATTTTCTTAAGCTCTTGAAACCTGCGACACACAATTAATTCTGTAAAAGGATATCAAAACAGAAGTTAGTCGTGATGTGTCTGTTAATATATTTGACATGTGCATATAGGTTGTCATGCTAGAGACAATGCCTGGTGTTTCAAGAAATAATAAAAAGAACATCGCATGCAGTAGCTTTACTTATTCACTATGTCTAATTCCATTCCCACCTCTTTGTTCATTATTGATTGCTACTGGATGCAGCACTCTAATGTAATTCATTAAATAAGAGATTTACTTTATAAGTCAAATACTTGTATCTTTCACTATCCGATTACACACACACACACACACACACACACACTAGTTTATTCATCTTATAGCCATAGATCATGTTTACCAGGCGCCTACCACATGCTGGGCAAGGTGCTGAGTGTTTTATATTCATTATTTTATCAATGTTTACAATATGACCAGGCAAGCACTGTTACTATTTCCAATTTACCAGTGAGAAACCTGTGGATAAATGACTTGCCCTAGCTCCACAATGAGTGAGTGGTGCCGCTGGGATATAAACTGAGGCAGTCTGGCTCCAGAGCCCTGCTCTCAGCTCCTGTGCTACACTGCCTCCTAGGGGACAAAGATACCCTTAACTTTCTTTATTCCTATGTTCATCAAACTATCCTTTGATATTTCCCAGTGCATCTGTATATCCTACTCCTAGGAAAAAAAGTGAAGACTCGCCCTTGAAAGCAGTAGTTTTAGGGAGTCATGAGTATTATAACAATGAATTATAACATTATTATGGAAAGCAGTATTATTCTATATGGTAGAATCTCCACATTATACCCTGTCCATTAATTGCCTTTCCAGAAAAATCTTTCCTATCATGCCATAATCCTGGGTATGGACAGTACAGGCTTCACACTGAAGAACTGAAAACACAGAATCCACAAAGAAAGGCAAACCTTCTGATCATCAAGATCTTGTTCTAGCTGTAACTGAGCCTCTAAATGTTCCACCTGGGTAGTTACTGATTCCTGCACATCAAGAAAACACCTCTGAGTTGTATTTAAGAGCCTCAGCAGCTGTTTGTTCTGGCTGGGAGACAGATCTTGAGCATATTCAGAAATGAAGAACTGCACATCAAAGGCAGTAGTGTCCAGCTGCATTCTGGTGTGTCCAAGCTCCTTTAACTCGTTCTGTGAACAAAGCAGTACAAGTTACCCACAGGGAGGTAAGCCGTAATATACAGCTTATATTTACAATGATATTTATTTTTTTTAAATATGCTTCTATCAGGTTTTATTGATAATTTTCATTTAGTCAAAAATCTATCCATCACCTTGTAAAAATGGTAATGACGAAATTATTTAAATAGTGCAGTAATTAATCCTATATAATAAAAGGATAATATGCAAACTGACCGAATGGGCAGAACGACTGGTCACTATGACGTGCACTGACCACCAGGGGGCAGGTGCTCAATGCAGGAGCTGAACCCTGGTAGTTAGTGCACTCCCACAGCGGGAAGCACTGCTCAGCCAGAAGCCCAGAAGCCGGGCTCATAGCTGGTGAGTGCAGCAGTTGTGGCAGGAGCCTCTCCTGCCTCTGTGGCAGTGCTAAGGATGTCTGACCAGTGGCTTAGGCCAAGCTGGCTGGCCTAAGCCATCAGTTGGACAACCCCTTGAGGGCTCCCAGACTGCAAGAGGGCAAAGGCCAGGTTGAGGGACCTCCCTCCCACCCCCCACCCACAGTACATGAATCTCGTGCACTGGGCCTCTAGTATTATATAAAAAGACTAGAGGCCCATTTTATAATGAAATGAAATTCATGCACAGTAGGATCCCTAGTGGCTGCTGGCTAGAGGTACCTCCCTTCCCCCCCCGCCGCCTGCAGCCGCCAGCAGCCCCATCCCCTGATCGAACTCCCGGTCAAGGGGACAATTTGCATATTAGGCTTTTATTATATAGGATAACCCCTCTAAGAATATTTTAAACTTGCTTGCCATATCACACTTCAAATGTAACTCTGACCAAAGGTAAAGTTCCAACTGATATACATTTGGCACGCTGAAGGGAAACATCAATGTTAAAATATTGCTTGCTAATATTTATAGTACCCATGCAACTGTGGTCACTCATAAACGAGACTATGGGGAATTTGAAACATAAATTAAGTGGGCCAGCATTTCAGTTTCCTAACTCTCAAGTCAGGGGCCTATCCATCATTCATGAGGCATGCTGTTCAAACTAAGAACTTAAAGGTGGGGTGAGGCAGGACAAAAAGGACTAAAGGACTCATACATAAAAACTACTTACACTATGATAAATTTATATGATTAATTTATACTATTAGGGATTTGAATAATATATATAAATAAAAACATAAAAACAAATCTCAACATGTCTATAAGAGTTTCATAAGGCAGTTGGGATAGCATCAGAATAGCATCCATAAAGTTGACTTTATTTTATAGTTGTGTCAACTATGAACAAACATCTTGTAGACACAAAGAAATAATCCTTCATAGCTTTAGAAAAGTCGTATTTTTTCTAAACATTTGTTATATTAAATCCATAGGTTTTTAAATGTGCTTTGTCTTAAGTTATTTTGATACCTGCCTTGAGAAACTCCAAACTTTTCTTTACATGCTCAGTATCTTGAACATTCACTGGCTCCATGTCCTTCACCAATTTGCTCTTCTCTGATATCCAGTGTGAGAACGACTTCAGTTTGTGCAGAAATTCTCCATGGGAAATGGCTAGTTTCGACTAGAAAACAAAATTGTGCATTCATTTCTGTTTCTAAAATTCAAATTCCTACAAATGGTGATTCTATTTTAAGAGCTTAGCACTCTAAAAATAAAATACTTATGTCTTATGATTACATTTTTAAATAATCACATTTTCTTCAAAACTTCAATCTCAGTGTGAAACGTGTTGACACCTACCATTTCACTGTCAATCGCCAGAACAAGGTGTTTCATTCTTTCTGAAGATACGTCACTGAGGGAAGAGAAGGCATTCTGTAAACTTTGGAGGCTTGCGCTCAATTCCTCACAATGGTTTCTGGGGAAGTCACTGGGAAGAGACTTTAAAAATTCTTCTGCCAACTTCATGTCCTTTCTTAAAATAACAGCAATTGGAGCCAATCCCAATTCAAATGTCTGCAAAAAAAAATAAAGATAGATAGGTGATGATGGATAGATAGACAGATAGATCCCAGAGCTATTTAGTGACAAATACAACTAATATCCAAAACATGAATGTAAAATGCTCTGCTTACTTTCCCAAACTAACATCAGCTGACTCCCACCCATTACAGGCAGCAGATAATTCTTACCTCTAACTGCTTAAGCTGATTCTTCAAAGCTTCTAGACTGTTATCCAGAGACTCTTGGTTGTCTAAGGGAGGCTTCATATCTTGAAGCAAAGCCAAATACTCGTGCATTTTTGATGTGTGCTGTAAACACTGCTGTAGCTCATTGGATAACTAAACACAAATTTGGACATTTTAATTCAATAGCCTCTATGCAGGTTTTTAGAGCAAACAAAATGTATGGGATGACTCCCAAATGTTTCATGCAGCTACTTCCATATGAAATGTAAAGTCAACTTACTTGTTCCATTGAGCCATCTCCAGAAGTCATGTCTTTTGACCCTGAAATACATTCCAGATGGTCTGGGAAATCACTGCATCGTTCCTCCAGCTTCTCATCTCTTGACAAGACTGATGCACGTACAGTAGAGTTTTCTGGTCCAATTTCTTTTATATTCTGTAAATTAAGGGAACTGTGGTTTCCTTCTTTGCTTTCATGATCATCAACAATGTGTGGTTTTTCATGCACCATCTCAAAAGTAGTAGATGGTTTTTGATTCAAGTTTCCAACCTGTTCCGCTCTGTCTGAGCAGCCATCGGCAAGCAGCTTATAGAAAATATTTTCAAGTTGCAGTGGAACTACCTTAGATGTCATCCCTCTTTTCTCTAGATCATACTCCATCTGCATT